CATCTGCTCCAGTCTTGAGAATCATTTTAAGATATTTCCTTTGCATCTTGTGATTATTCTTTAGATATTCTCGACTAGCAACCCACTTATAATTTCCAATTAGAAGAAATTGGCTCATAGACCAACCATAAAGATTATTCGCATCGACATATGAGATCCATATTGTTGGTTGGGATATATCAAATGCGTCTCCCATATTAGAATTATTTCCCTTGAAATGTCTATGTACTGCTATAGCATACCACCACATTTCGCCTTTTCAATGAAGTCATGCATTGCCATTTCTGTAAATAGCTCGATCTTAACTTTGGTCATCTTAAGCATAGTATTCCAGAATAGAGAAGATGCGGATACATAATGACTGGGATCAAGGTCATAATGATGCATTGATGTCTTTCTAAATGTTGTCCAGATATCTGCTAGACTAAGCACGTCTATTTTAAGATAGAGATCATTATATTCTCCTAAGTTCTTACATCCAAATTCCTTCCATACATTTTGGGCATGATTATAATCCTCTTGTGAAATCTTACCTCCAAGAATACTATGAAACTCATGAATCGGAGGTAATTCTGTTTCCTTAAATTGGTCATGAGAGTCTATGTATTCATAAGGAAAGATTTTTTTGCGATATGCTAAGGAAATCTGTTCAGAAGGGGTGCTGTCCAAAATCTCGAAATCCAAAATCTCGAAAGGTCAAAATCTCGAATTCCAAAATCTCAAATTTCAAAATCCCAAATAGTACAAAATTCCGAATGGTACAAAATTTCGAAGTCTAAATTATCGAATGATATAAAATCCTTTAAATATATACATACTACAGCATATAAGTGTATATCACATAATTTTATTAAAAAATTTTTTATTATATCGCAATTCATTTTACTTATACAATAATGAAAAAAAATGTTTAATTAGAGGAAATAAATAAAAAATTTTTTAGCAGGATAATATTCAAATACCTGAGTATCACTAGTAAATTACCCATGATATATATGTAACTAATTCAAAGTAATTTCCCGCGAATGACTCATGACCTACTAACTCAAAATAATTTTCATGAATCAATCGTATTTATTATTTTTAAACATGATATAAAGTACCATTATTACAAATTTGTCATATTAAACGTAACTATAACATAAAATCATGCGTAATCCCACGAAGAAATTCCATAATAGAATGGTTTCTTTATCATTAAGTACTATTACTATTCTTTTTTCTTTTTCAATCAAGGCTTTTTTTTGTAGAACGTGGTTCACCACAAATGATACGTTCAACTTGAAAGTCTACCTTTTGCTGTTCCTTCTGCATCTGGAATTTAAATGCGGCGTAATATTCCGTAGATTTACGATTTTTGTAATATTTCAGAGTATTACGTTGTAAAA